AGGGCAGTTAAAGCAGTCTCAAACTGGATTATTCCTGCAGTGTGTTTTAGTCAATGTTTAAAGGATGATTGGAGTGGTAGTCCCACAATATCTGAATATTTGTCTACACACACTTTATGCATCTGCTGTTTAGGGAATTTCTGGTCAGGGTATGAAGCACTTCACTAAAGAATTTGGAATAAATTTTGTTTTTGGACTACAACTTCCAGAAGCCCCCCACACACACACACACTTCTTGCCATCATGGGGATTTGGGGAACTGAAGTCCAAACAGTTGCATTTCCAAGCTCTGTTTCACACTATGCAGTTTTCTGATCTGCCTCGCATGGCAGGCTCCTTCAAACATGTCTTGGTTTATGCCAAACGTTTGAGGAGTTTGACTTTTCTATGACTTTGTTTGTAGAAGATCGATCACAGTACCTGTCAAGAGTAAACTGGGTGGAAAATCCAGATTGCACAATCAGTGGGTGATTCCTGAGTTGCAGCACCCCAAAGCTAGGGTCACGCACATGCCACCCAGGCAAGGAATTTGGTGGCGCTCGGCTCCCTTAAGCCGCTTTTGCGTAATCAGATAAAATAACTTTGACAGAATGTCCTGCGTGTCTGTGATTTTTCTTTCAGGGCTTGTTAAATGCATACACTCACCGATGAATGACTCAGATCTGACAGTCATTATTTACCCAGCGCAAATAGAGTTGCTTGTGCCCAATATTTTCTATTGATATCCTTCCAGAGTCTTTTGTGAACAGTGTGAATTCAGGTGTTGAATTGCTGTAGAAGAATTACGGGGAGGGAAAATGAATGGTTTATTTATACTTGTACACCGCCCGGATTGGCTTGCCACAGGGCAGTATAGAAATAAAATTATTATTATTATTATTATTATTATTATTATTATTATTATTATTATTATTATTATTATTATTTTAAAAAGCAAAGCTTCTGCTAGCTGCTCATTCGAAGTGGGATCTAGAATCCCTGTTCCGTTTTCATGTTGCAGAGGAAAAATAGGAGATTCGGGGCCTTTGCAGACTGCCAGAAATAGTGCAAATTGAGTCCACTTTAACTGCCCTGACTCAGTGCTAGGGAATCATGGGAACTGTAGTTTGTTGTGGCACCAGAGCTCTCTGACAGCAAAGGCTCAATGTCTCAGAAAAAATACAATTCCCATGATTCCTTAGCACTGAGCCAAGACAGTTAAAGTGGACTCAATTTGCACTATTTCTGGCAGTCTGCAAAGGCCCTTAGTGTGTGGAAAAGGGATTTAGAGGCTGGGAACCAGTGGGGCGTAGTGGCTTGAGTGTTGGACTATGGCTCTGGAAGTCAGGGTTCGAATCCCAGCTCGGTCATGGAAACCCACTGGGGTGCCCTTGGGCAAGTCACACTCTCTCGGCCTCAGGGGATGGCAATGGCAACACACACACACATGCACCCCTCTGAAGATACTTGCCAAGAAAGCCCCATGAGTAGGCTCGCCATAAGTCAGAAATGACTTGAAGGCACACAACAACCACAATCACTGGAGTGTATGAAAGGGAAGCTGTCTTTGTAAAAGGAAACTCCAAATTACTATGGAAAAGAGCTTTAAAACATTGATGGTGTTGCTTTGGTACTTAGGACCATGCAGATGATGGGAGGTCAGACTCCGGGGCTTACAAGTCCTGGAAAGTATCATTTCCAAGCCCTCCTTTCATACAAATTTAAACAAAAACCCATCAGTGCCACCTTTATTGGCCAACCAAAATGCACAATAGACTTGTTGCAAGCCTTCGAAGCTCCATGCACAATATACTTTTGAAGCTTGCAACAAGTCTATGGTGCATTTTGGTTGGCCAGTAAAGGTATCACGGATGGATTTTTGTTTGAATTTGCTCAATGGCCAACACAGCTACCCCTGAACATTTTCCATAAAAAATGTAAAACGTCCTTGTAGAAGTCTGTTTGTAGCAGTGCTAAGTCCTGCTTTAGATTTGACTCGGAGGACAACCTGCCCCAAAAGTTAGCCGTTCGGTTACTAAAGCGAACATGAAAAATAAGCCAGGGAGCATTTGTGTTTGGAAATGAAGCTGCAGTGACTGCGTGGGGTGGAAATATCATTGGAAAACCCCATCTCTTTCCCCTGTTATGCAGTATCACCCATGTTGCCTGTGGGATTTCATATGCGTGATAGAAATCAAGATCTTGCAGATAGTAGGATGAATCATTGCTTTCCATTCACCTTTAGGGAATTTTCACAAGTACTTCACAAGTACTTTTGCCTTTGGGCTGGACAAATGACCTTTTTTTTTTGGACTAAACCCCTAGGGGATTCTGGGAGTTCTAGTTAAGAAAAAACACTTTTCCAAATGATGACATTTACTTGCATGGAAGATGGGAAGCTGCCTCTTATAGGGGATAAAATAACCTTATATTATAAATGCTTAATGGAGATTGTGATGGAGGAGGAGGTAGTAAAGGAACACATGATTAAGTGGGCGCAAGATATTAAACAGAATATTAGACTAGAACAATGGGAGAAGATTTAGAATAGGGGATAAAACGACTGATCCATCTAGCTCAGTTTTGTCTACATTGATAGGCAGTGGCTCTCCAGATTTTCAGGAGTCTTTCCCAGATCTTCTTGGCAATGCCAAGGACTGAACTTGGGGACCGTCTACATGCTTTTCCATTAAGCCACAACCCTTCCCTTAAGCAGAATTTGAGAGACTAGGCTGACATTCAATATGGGATTTATGTCTATGGCTGCACCCACACTGCAGAAATAATCCAGTTGGACACCACTTTAAGTGCCATGGCTCAATGCTATGGAATTCTGGGAATTGTAGTTTGGTGAGACATTTCGCCTTCTCTGTCAGAGAGCTCTGGTGCCACAGCAAACTCCCCAAATTATATAGCATTGTGCCATGGCAGTTAAAGTGGTGCCCAACTGAATTATTTCTGCCGTGTGGATGCAGCCTATGTAAGGGGATGTATTAAGAAAGGTAAAATTGAACAGTTTTGCAATGTCAGTATTCAACAAGACGCTGTCGCGACATTACTACTACATTATTACTGTGCAAGAAAATGCCACAATAGGGAGTATTGATGTGTATTGATAGAGCCCAATGCACATTGGGACACCAATTCAGAGTGCTGATGCACATATGTAGAACTTAATACACATTGGGACAATCCTACATAGCTAACTGTGCATAAAGCTATGCAACGAAGACCATGATATAGATTTGTGGCCATGACATTTAGAGACCCCTCTCATAACCTTCATGCTGACTAGAGAATTCTGGGCATTACAGCCCACCAAGCGAGCCTTCCTACTCTTTTTGTTTCTACCGTTGTCTTTATGTCCTCTTTTAGTATAAAACATGGAACTGGTCAGCCAAGGAGAATGTTTTGTTCTGCATGCTCAAAACTTTCTGCTTTGCGCCTGGAGGATTTGTGCGCATCACTTGGATTTCAAGGGCTATTTAAAGGGATTTGCTAGGTTGTTCAGAGTGCTTTGATTGTATATTTCTGCCTGGCAAGAGTTGGACTGGTTGGTTCTTGTGGTCTCTTCCAACTCTATGATTCTGTGATTCTGTGGTTCCTCTGTCATGCAAAAGCTAAACACTTCATTTTGGTGGCTTTTCATGCTCTCATGTATGCCAAAGTTGCTGGAGAGTGCTTCCTTCTGAAGCAATATACCCAGCATTTTCTGGGTTGATGCAGACAATTTGGCTTCTGATTTGAAGAATCAAACTTGTTTCACACCAGGTTCCGTGCAAAATGGCAAGTCACACTCTCTCAGCCTCAGGGGACGGCAATGACAAACCTTCTCTGAACAAATCTCGCCAAGAAAACCTCATGACGGGTTTGCCTTAGGGGCTCCATAAGTTGGAAACGACTTGACGGCACACAATAACAACTCTTCACTCAAAGAATAACTCTTTAGCCAGAGGGCATAAGGAACTCAAGCCATTTCCATCCCTCCTGAGGTCCCAATCTGACCTTTTGGGATTCCCCAGGTGACCACACCTCCTTCCTTATTGCACCATCATTTGGCAATGGTTTCTCAGCTTCCGTTCCGGTTCCTGGATTATAAATGTTGAAATGCCTCTCCTAAAACTTAGTTACTGGCAATTAGAGGTTTAAAGCTCCCTGGAAGCCAAGATGACCCAATTGAGGCTGTTGTACTTTGGACACATCATTAGAAAGGAGGACTCTTTGGAAAAGACAATAATGCTGGGGAAGGTGGATGGAAGGAGGAAGAGAGGAAGGCCAGATGTCAGATGGATGGACTCCATGAAAGAGGTCATTTTGGGTCTGAAGGGGTTGCAGGATTTAAGCAGAGCAATGGAGGACAGAGGGTCTTCTTAGAGAGGTCTCATCCATAGGGTCGCCATGAGTCAAGATTGATTCAAGGGCAGTTAACAACAACAAGAAGAGGTTTAAACTAAAATATACTAGTACGTTTGGTTCCATCTTTTTGCCCTGGCCCTGTCAACCAAAGGAATGTGCCCTGTGCCACCTTTACTCTAACTTGCTTTGCCTTCAGGCTGAGAATTCCCCTTTCTTTGCCTAGCCACTAAACCTGCTATTTTAATTTGACTGACAATGTCAAAATGATATATGAACTTGACCACAGTTTTGAAAAGTTATTTCTGGACCACAGTCATAGCAGCAAATGGCTCCCATGTTAATGGGATAATGAATCCATTTGAGGTCAAAGGCTTTCATGGCCGGCATCCATAGTTTTTTGTGGGTTTTTTGGACTGTGTGGCCATGGTCTAGAAGAGTTTCTTTCTGATGTTTCACCAGCATCTGTGGCTAGCAGCTTCAGAGAACAGATGCTGGCGAAACGTCAGAAGGAAGCTCTTCTAGAACATGCCCACACAGCCCCAAAAACCCACAAAAAACAATTCATTTGAGGTTTGGGCTAGCTTTAAATGACCTATCCAAGGTGCTGAACCTATTTAGAAACAGGGCTCAGCACCTTGGTGAGTTTTGGATTAATATCTTGATTCACCACTCCAGTAACATGGAAGCCACCAGCTAGCACTGGACTATATCTCCCATGATCTCCATCCATCTCAAAGACAAGAGGTGCAGTCTCCGAAAACTAATTTCCCCAAGTTCCCAAAATGATGATCCTGGTGAAACTCACCATAATGTAAGCTGATATGTCAGCATAGCAGAACCCTAAATTTTCTCCTGAAATGGAAGTATAGTGGGTTTTTGGTATCCTCTGGGGTTTGGTTCCAGGATCTCCACTGGATACCAAAATCCAAGGTTGCTCAAGCCCCATTATATATAATGGGGTAATAAAATTGTGTCCCTTATAGAAAATGGCATAATCAATGTTTGCTTTTGGGGATTTATATATATATTTAATATTTTCAAGCCATGGATGGTTGAATCCATGGATAAAGAATCTGTGGCTACAGAGGGCCAACTGTAGATGATAACTTCCTACATGATCTCAAATAGGAAACTTGGGATCTAATTTTCAAATGGTTTGTTTTATCTCTTCCTAACTAGGCTTGTAAACAGCAATGCATCTGTTACAGTATGCCAAGCAAGAATATTATAAAGTGAAAGGATTGTATGATCTTAGCTAGTTTGTTTCTTTAAGTGTGCTGGTGACAGTTATGGACTTAATTTGTCATCTTGTAACATTTCCAGACTTTATTTGAATGGTTGTATTGCATCCATGTTTTCTAATCTAGTTTGCGATGTTTGTTGTTGAAGTAGGCTACCCTTTTTCTTTTTCCCTACACAGTCCAACAGAAAATCCTACTCAAATCATAATTACAGAAAGATAGCTAAATAATAAAAGACAATAAACCCAAATCAGAGTTCTGTGTTTACAATGGGGTTTTCTGTTTTCAAAATGGAGAATCATATACATTTCTGTTTTCGTGTTCCAAGCAAGCCTAGGGTTACTGTGGGTGAAGACTAATACAATGCCATTTGATAGTTTGTAAAGCTTCTTCCCATTACATCTCAAGATAATAGCATGCAGACAACATGACCTTAGATAAAGTGCCTCGATTATAGCAGTTGATTATAACATAATGCCTGAGAAAAAGATCTGGAGATCTCAAAACCTTGCACACATATTCATATCTTTTGTTGTTGTTGTTGTTGTTGATCTAGTAAATGTAAGATGGAGTCTACATGATGTAGAGGTTTGAATGTTGGATTAGGGCTCCAGGAGATCAGGGTTCAAATCCCCACCCAGCCATGGAAGCCCTCTCAGTGACCATGGACAAGTTACACTATCTCTGCCTTGGAGGAAGACAATGACAAACCTCCTCTGAATCAATCTTGCCAAGAAAACACTACAATAGGTTGCCATAAGTGGGGCTGGCAT